CCGTCCCATCCCCCAGCCCTTTTTTGTTTTATAATTCGAGACAGGGTTTGAGCTCCAGCTTTGGACGGTCCTGCCTCAGCCTCCTGTGCGCTGGGATTGCAGGTATGCACCACCACGCCCCGCAAAGAGCAACAACAACAAAACCTTTGAGTGATGAAGCTGTGTTCCGCACACACAAAGGTGGAGAGGAGCAGGAGGGGCCTCCGGACAACTTGCTGGGAGCCAGGTGGTCTGCAGTACACGTGCTTGGGGTCGCATTTTAACCCACGGCCGGGGGTGGGGGCGCCAGCTATCCCTACGCCAGGGCACCTCCGAACACAGCTCCGTCTACCAAGCCAGCTCTGCCAGAACCTTTGCCCCACCCCGTCACACACGCGTGGCAGGGCTCTCCGGAAGCGCCCTCCGCACCTCCGAGGTGGCCCCAAAACAGGTGGCTTGAAAGAGCCCGAGAGCTCCCCTGGGCAGCACGAGGCGGCCACGCTCCACCTGACGCCGTCAGAGCCCAAGCACCCCGCGATCACTGTGCCGAGCTCCAAAATAGGCTTCAAAGCCAGGGCCACACGCCGTTCCAAGTGCGGTCTCCTGGGGCTATTGGGTTTCATGGTCTCCCTCGCTGCCTTGGTTACGGGTTAGCATGAGTCTTCTCACCCCTTAATTATAGTCCTGGCATTCGAAAAACACACCAACACCTCTCGCTGCCTTGGCGCCGGCTCCTCATTCCAACCCACTCCCAAGCGCTCGGCCAGCCGCAGTTAATCCCGGTGCCGTTTATGACTGTCCCCGGCCCCGGCCCCCGGCTCTGACCACACGCTCCCCGGCCCGTGCCCACTGCCTGCCTTACAAGGCAGTACGGCCCGGCGGCAGACACCACCTTGGGAGGCCCCAAGGGGACACAGAGTGTCAGCACCGTCCCCGGCTTCGGGAGGAGGCAGCGCTGTGCTCGGAGGAGCCGCATTCGAACATACGCTGCTCCCAGGGCCGGGAAGTGGCCAAAAGGAACCCACGGCTTCTCCGGCTCCGGCTGCACGGAGCAAACTAGAGGGTGTAGGCCTGCGCCCTTCCAAGTGCAGAGCCCCGCAGGACCGGTGTCCACCAACCGGGGCAAAACAGAAGGAGCAGAGCCTCCCGGGAGCCGTCTCAGGGGCAGAACAGGGGCAGCACCGATCTGGGGGTCTATGGTGGCCACGTCCCCGCTTTTCCCTAATTACCGTGCCCGGGGCGGGAGCAAACGCCTGCTCTCCTCCACGCCTCCCTGCAAGGGACACAGCAGGGACCCTGCCCAGATCAAAAATGCCTTGGAGACAAAGAAGAGACGAGAAGGGCAAGCCCAGGAGAGCGGAGGGGCCGGTCCCAGCGGCAGCTGAGGGAGAGAGCCCTCCCACCACACCGGCCAGGCCGCGGAACCGCTTGCGCTGCGGGCTGTGGAGCAGACTCAGAGGTCCCAGGGCACAAGTGCTCAGGTGGCCGGCAGAGGGAAAGGGGCTGGCGGCAGCCTTCGCGGTGGGCAAGAAGGAAGAGAGCCACTGGGGTTGAGGGCACCAGAGCCACGAAGCAGGAACCAGGGCCCTGCAGGGCGGTGGGGGTCCCATGGGCGCCCCAGGAGGAGGCCCCGCCCTGCAGCCGCGCGGGCCCCAGCCCAGCACTCCCTGTCCCAGCACACAGAGGGATGTGCACCCCTGCATTCCTCCAGGGCCTTCCGGCAGCCCAGGCAGTGACACAAGCCCTGGCCCAAGCAGGTCTGGCCCTCTGGCATGCAGCAGGGGGGCAGCAGCC